CCCAGATGGCGTGGCCCTGTGCTCAGGTTGTTCCCCTGGGAAGGTGAGGGCTGTGTCCTGTCCCAGGGGTTTGTCTGTCCTCAGCAGCCAGCACACTGGGTCCTTGCTGGAGATTTTGCTTCCATGACCTGGCTAATCCTGTACCATGTCAAAAATGGCACAGCACTGGGCCTGAAAGCACAATTTCAGTCAGTGCTCATTAGAAAGTTGCTGTGCAAGTTTAAATCTGTTCTGGTGTTGTAGAAGGGGTAATTTTGTCCTGAGAAATGGGATCAGATATTGTCTGGCCCTCACAGGCAGCATAAATTTGGCTAAAGCCAAAAAACTGTTTAGTTCCGTAGAAACAGAAGCAAGCTTATATCTGATCCAGATCAGATTTTTTCCTACTCGCATCCGACAGTTGGCACATACAATATTAATGATGGTAGACCAAGTTCTGGAGTATTTACAAGCTGGTATGCATTAACATGAGACCCATTTGCACATCTTGCCTTAGAACAAGTGCAGAGAGCTTTGTACCGCCCGAAAGGAAACTCCAGTTCGGTAAAGTTTGGCAAAGGGTGCATTGAGAAGTGATTGTATATACGTACATGCATCAAGAGCAATTCTCCATACTTTCTTTAGCAAAAAGAATCATTGTTTCTTGAGGCTGACAAGGATGGAAAGCAACCCTGCTTGCAACCGTCAGGACTTGCAGACATTCTTAAATAACTCCCCTGGCTCACCAGTCTTTGGCACTGAGCACTAACAGCTTGCGTCTGTAGCTCCTGTGCACTCTTTCAATGACACCTTTGTCCCCCAAAACCAGTCTCTCTGACTTGTTTCTCTTTGCTTGCCTTGTCTCCGCCTCATTCACACTTCACCAGATAGCTCTGTAGGACAAATCTTGCCTTGGAAGAGGAGTGGCAAGGGCAAGAAAACCAGGTCATTTGTAGGGCCTGAGCTTTATTAATGAAATGTGTCTGCCTGTGTTAGGGAGGACTTCATTCAGTGGCCCAGCTGGGTCCCTTCTGGACCCGTGGCCCTAAGTTCAAGGAAAAGCTCGGTTGTCAGAGCAAGGTACGGCACAAAGTGAGGTTGAAATGTACTGGCTTGTTTTGTGGGCTCTCCTCCACTTTGCTTGCCAATTGCAGTCCTTTACTCGTCCTCCACCTTTTCCGTCTCATTTGCTGAATTATCTCTTGCTTGCATCTCTTCATTTTTTCCAGTCTGATGTTTGTTAGGCCAATAATTATTCTTAATTCAGTGTTTATAAGCTGCGGCTGGTATTTATAAACCTTGGTGCCAGCAGCTCCACAGTTGCTCTTAAATGTCCAAGAGAAAGTCAAAGCTGTTGACATAAGTAGGAGTCGTGAACTCTGAATGTATAAAAGTCCTGTCCTGCAGTTTGCACACTGCAGCGAGTGGCAAGGAGGAGGTATCTGTTAGGCTTTCGGCCAGTAGGTTGTTCACGTGGCTCACTGAGGGGAGGAGAACAGCTTTAAGGGCTGTTTTTCCCTGCAGCAGCTGCAGCCGTGCTGATGAGAAAACAGTGCCATTTCCACCAGCTGACAGCAGCGAAGCTCGGGCTCCTGGTTACTCACCTCGGCTTCCCAACGCCTCGGCCGCCCAAGTCTGCAAGTGGAGAAGAGGTCACGAATGGAGAAGGGGACAAAAAAAGCATGTATATGTGGGCCGACATTAAAATATAAGGGAAGAATCCTTGGATCATTCTCTAATTTAATTATCATCTTTACTTAGGTTCACTGCAAAAATAAATATACCAAAAAATGTCCTTGGATTGTCTGCCTTTGAATTTGCCCGCTTGATACGTTTCCGTTCCCCACCTTTTGGTCTCACCGTGCTCAAGTGTCCGATGTGGCATCTGATGGGGTAAAAGCACAACCCCATTGACAACTTCATGGCTGCATTAGGACTATACAGAGGAGGATTTGCTTCACAAAAAGAAAGTCATTGGGAGTTTTCATCCTAGCACATTTCTCTGGTAATCTAAAACCAACACCAAATATCGTAGGAGTCTCAGTAATATCTTAATAGCTGGCAAACTGCAATAATAATGAAACAGCGTGTCTTATAAGGAATATAAGTACGTAAGATTTTTTGTATACATTTATACTGTCTCTTTTTATGTAGGTGTATTCACGCTTAAGTGATCAAAATTTGTGTATAACTATTACAAACTAAATTATGTAGCAACTTTTGTGATTTCAAGTTAGGCTTAGGTTTAAACATTAGGAAATTTTCTGAGGTAGCTAGTTAAAACTTTTTCTGAAGTGCAAGTCAGATTAAGCCATAATTCATACGAAGTATCTCATATATAAGGTTTTCTTACCAATTTTATTTTTACAAACATTAGCTTTCACAAAAGCACCACCTGTAGCAGCATTTAAATATCGGGCAGATACAAACGTACAGCTTCTTGCAACGAGATTCACTTTAAGAAGAACTGAAAGAGTAATGAAATAAGTAATAATAATGATGATGATGATGATGATGTCATACTTAAAGTTCCTTTTAAGAAGGAACATTAGGGATCAAGGCATCCTCAGAAACAGCACTTATTTCCAAATAGTTTTCTGGGGCTAAATCAGCTCACTGAATGGTTCAGTTGCTCTTAAATCAAGTACTGGATTATCCCTAATGCATAGGTATGAACTGAATACCATCATGTGTAAGTTGTGATTTGAAGCAGCACAGTCGGAAATGATGCTCATTCTTCCCAAAGCAATTAAATGTTTTGAACAATTTCTGTGTTGCTCTATGTGTGTCTCATGCAGGTCATTTTTCACTGTCAGCAGTCTTTGTTCATAAGGAAAAGGCATTTTCTTCACCATGCATGAGGAAATAACAAGCAGTCCAAATGTAGCCAGGATTACAGAGGCACCTAAACTGTGCTAGTAGAAACCTGTTAGTAGTGGTGCTGTGCATCTGTAAATGCGCTGTGCTTCCAGAAGGGGTTGTTACATCATCTTACTGAGCACATTTTAATAGTATTTTCTTTATGAAGTTCTTTAACATTTAAAAAAATGCAGCTGAAGGGTAGTTATAATCACCACTGTTCTTTTACTCAGAGGTGGTTCACAGCTAAGGCATAAATTAAAATTTAAGACTGACTTTCCCTTGAGTCATCGCTCATTTGGGAAGTGCTTTCTTTTCGAGAGCTCAGCTATCCATCAATGCTACTTTTATGGCTGCACAGCTCCTGGAGTATCTATTGCCCTCCCATTTTTCACTGTAAATCAGTGCCTTTTCTAGAGTCACACAGTAACATAAGAAACATGGCAAAATGGGAAATTTAACTGTGCCTTTTGGAGAGCCGTAGGCCCGCTGAACTGTTCATGATCTCTAAAGGGAGCCTGTGATACCTGTTGTTAACCAGAGCTGAGTAGGAGTGACAGCTGTCTTTCTTTAAAAGCACATTGCAAGACCCAGAAAGTGTCCTATCTCTGACACTGTGTTGCAGGATCTTGGATGCTCCTATTTCACCTGGCCAAACAAAATAAACACCTTTTAAACAAATTTCATTGCCTTTATATCCCCTTCCCGCTCCTCCCTTGCAGCGTCAGCCATCTCCCCAGTTTTGCTCCCTACTCTAGCTGCTTTTGGTGTCCCTCAGCACTTACATGGCATTTCATGGGTGAGGAGGAATGTCTCTTCACATCAGCTCTGAAGTTTGTCCCTGGGTCTGTCTCCTGGCACAAGCAACCCGTAGTTCCTCTCAGGACTGTCCCGGATCACACTTGTGCCCCATAGTCCCCCTCACACCTGTCTCTTGCTCTCCTGGCTTTATTGCCATGTAAAAGTAGATCAAGATGGTAAGAACCAACCCTCTGCCCCCTTTCTTCTGGGCTCAACTTGACTCCTTCATTCAGGGGAATGGGAAATGGGGGCTGTGGTCAGTCCATAACAGCTCCTTTCTGCTGCTCCTTTCCTGATGCTGTTCCCCTGCTCTACCAGGGTCTCTCCATGTGAAGGGGAATCTCTGCTCCACCATGGAGCAGCACCTCCTCCTCACCTTCCCCTCTCACCTTGCTGTCTGCAGGGCTGTTTCTCACACTTTCTTCCTTACTCTGCCTGTGTAGCATTTTTCTGCCCCTTCTTAAACCTGTTTTCCCTGAGGTGCCCCTACCTTGGCTGAGGGGCTCAGTCAGGCCCTGTGCTGGGTCGGTTGGAGCCGGCTGTGTATGGCATGGGGCAGCCTCGGCCTCTCCTCACACAGGCCGCCCTGCAACCCCTACTGCCAGCACTGGGCACCTGCACCTGTGCCGTATGGATACTGAAAGCTGTAAATGGACAAAATGATCCATGAGATGTTCCTCATCTTTGGGCATCCTAAGGCCTGAAGTGATGTGACTTTTCAAAAATAATCTGCCTAAGCCTACCCGACATCGGTCTCCAGAAAGTTAGATGCCTGTGTGAAGTTACTTGCAACAACTTTGCCGTGTGTAGTGTGGAGGAAAGGTTCCTTCAGAGGCTGATGCTAGTGTTCAATTGAGTCAGAAATCAATACAACTGAGGGGTTTTTGACACTTCTTAACTTCTGGTTGACTGAAGTGATATGAGTCCTAGCCTGTTATCTCATGATGGACAGTCGAAATCAAAGATTGCCTCTGAAGTTTTGCTGTAAAATTTATTCTCAAGCATGCTGTGTTGTCTGTAGGAGACATAGCCCTTTCCCTTTGCTTTCTGAAGGCATCCAGAATAAGTAACTTGTGGGTAAACCAAGGTTTTGATGAATATTGTATGTGCAGTTTTATTTCAGGTCCGCCGAATGCGTTGGTGTAGCCTGTGTGCACGCACACCTGCATGCCGCTGGAAATGCTCGCGCCTCGCTGTGGCACCGCTGGATGCTTTTGTGAATCCGTCACCGGATTTGGGAAGCTGAGCACAAGCGGTGCCATCCGGCGCAAGCGAGAGGCTGTGTTGTACACCCTGATGTTGTTCTGGGAGAAGATTAATTTCAGCACGCTCATATTAATCCATTATATGTCTCTTTCCAGCACAAATGGACCCCCGAGGCCTATCTCCCAGACAAATTAAAAGTGACAGTGATGATGACGACCTGCCAAATGTGACCTTAGATAGCGTTAATGAAACTGGATCTACAGCGCTCTCCATAGCCAGAGCAGTACAAGAGTAAGTATCGCATTCCCAGAGCGAGATGAATGTTGCCGAGGTGTTCCCGGGCAGATGGAGGCACCGGCCCTCGGCAGCACCACGGGTGTGACCCCGGATGCAGGCCGACATACCTGACAGCGTACACTCTTCTGTGTAGCTTCGTTCCCTTTAGGAAGAGATGACTGTATCTCTCATCTCTCTTTTTCTTTTCTCCATTCTTTCTCTCTGCTCTCATTATTAGGTAAAGTTTCAAATTGAAATTGTTGCTTCCCCTTTATTTACTTGCAAAGCTTGCAGTGTTTTTGTATCCTCTCCAAAGGGAGTCCTTGTTAGACTTTCACTCAAAAAACATTATATTTTTTCTTGACCGAAAGCAGCGTCAAGAAGTTTCTTCTAGTTGCTGCCAAATAGGATCTACCTACGTTTCTGCTGAAGGACAGTGTTACTGAAAGGAAATTAGCAAGGGGCTTTGAACAATTGTTCCATTGCTGTTATTTTTCTGTGTACTTTTACGCACTGGATGGACAAATAATTTCTTAATTTAATGTCTGTATTGCTTGGTTACAAAAAAAAGAAAAAGTTTATCATGAACATTAGCAATTCTGTAGATGCATGAGCTTGCTCAGTCACTGTAGCAGCTGGAAAGGAACCAACTGTGAGGTAAATAAGTATTAATATCCCCATTTTATAGGTGAGGAAAATGAGGTTATGCGTAAAGGTCACCCTGTAGGTCTGAAGCTGAGCTGGAAATAGAAACAGAGCCTCCAGGCACTGAAGCCTGTGCTAGACCCACAGAACACTTTACTTTATCTGAGAGGTTCAAAATGTGAGCATTTTGGACATTTTTAAATAGGAAGTGATATAATAAAAGCCATTAGATGTTGTTGTTATGTAATTTATTGTAGATGCATTTTAAATGTCTTAACACAATAGCTGAAGGTATTTACCTTTTGCTGTGTTTTCCTGGCCATCAGTAGCCAAAGTGCTGATGTCTCTGAAGCAATCTTGTCTTTGCGGAGAGGAAACTTGAGCCATGTTTGAGGGGGAAACCGCTCTTTTTGTGTTTTCACTAGACATCCACTAATGCATCTTCTAGTCAAGTGCAGTAACTCATCCTCGAACCTATATTCTCTGTAAGCAGAGAGGGAGGTCTCTACAGGCGAGGCAAGGCATTGGTTCTCACTGTAGTTAGGGATACCTCACTTCTGACAGTGGTAAAGGAAGGAGAGGTTCCTTCACCAGTGACACTGTTGCTTGATTGAGAGGCCTCACATGTATTTTGGTATTCGCTAGTTACACCACCAGGCCCTGAAGTGCATGAAGTGTTCTTTTTCTCAATTCATAGCGCACAATAAGCTAAAACAACTTGTCGTGATTTTGCACTAAATATTTCAGTCTAATTAATGAAAAAAGGAAGCATGGGATGCTAAGAAATACAGCTAATATATGACTGGCAGGCAGATACTATTCTCTGTGATTGAAATTGCTTGAACGCTTAGAGAATTGGTTAAACCATGAAAAGCTTTTTTAGCTTTTCCACAGTGCATTCCGCAGGCTGTGAAGGTAGATGTGTTGATTATTACTCATCTGGCTCTGGAGCTTAAGAATTAAATTAAGAAATTTAATAATATAACATCAGCTCATCCTTGTTCCAGGTTTTATTTAAACTGTAATCTGTTAGTTTATTTCAAAAGCCCCATTAGGAAAATCTGATTTGTCTGTGATCTGCAATTTGTTGTCTTCTTGACTTCATTCTGTCACAGACACCACACATACAGCTGCTGAGCTGGGAAGTGATGTTAGCACATTAGATCGACTCCACTCAATCCATTTCTTTCTCAGAGTATAATATAGTGGCTTACAGGTGGACTCTATTCTTAATTTAGGCATCTGTCGTGTACACAGACACGTTAGACATTGAGCAAAGGAGTCCACCAGAAAGAAAAGTCTGCATTCTACATAGCCCTGTTGCAGAGAGGAAAGTGCCTTTGAAGCCTTCCAAAGGGAGATCCTGTGTGCTCAATTTCGGCGTCTAAACTTAGCAGACTGGAATTTCCTCTGAGGATGTGGAAAGGCACCTACTGTTCTGCTGAATAACCCAGCAGCGGAGGCTGCTTCAGTAGGCGGTGAAGCACAGGTCTAAGGCAAGTGAGGTAGTGTGGACCTCAGAGTCTAGAAGACTTGCCCACAGAGCGTCTTCTTTCTCAGGTGAGCTTGTAAGCTCTTTCTTGTGGGTAGTTACACAATTAACAGCAAAAAATAACTCCTTACTGAGAGAGAGTCTTTTCTTCTTGTGGGATACTGGCTGGGAACTACAGCATGGCACCTCCAAAGGCATGGCAGGGTCCTTTCCTTCAGTACCAGGTTGCTGTTGTGCAATCTTGTCTTTGTTAAAATACCAAGCCCAGTTTGCAGATGCTGGTGGGAGTTGTGAGGCAACAGTTGACCTTTTCCTGGTTGGCTTTCAGACATGATTTAAGTTTTCCTGCACAAGGATTATAAGCATACATGTATGTTTCTATGATTCTGTGATATGTACGTATTTGCCTATTGCTGCCTGTTCTTCAGGAGCAAAGGGATTTCACATCTTGCTTATCTAGACGTCTGCAACACAGGTATCTGCAGCTGAGCTGCTTGTCTCACTGCCCTGCATATGGACCGGATAGCAGTTGGCGTGTCCAGGCGGTAATTTCTTTTGAGCTATTCTAGCTGTCTGATTTAGGGAGAGAGAGTGAGTCAAGCCCCCGAGCGCCCGTTCCTCTCCGTTGACTGCAGGTGGTGCAGACAGCTGCCTGGGACACACGTGTCAGCACTGCAGATCTCTGGTGCGAGGTGAGGGTACGGCGATTTGTGGTGCCTCAGCGTGCCAGAAGCTGGGAGTAACAGGATGAGACTGAATGTCCGGCATCTTCACTCGGATCTAAATCTGCCAGGTGGGGTTAGCAATGCCAGGGTTGCAACCACGAGCTGAAGGAAATCAACTTGTCAGTGTCTGGGGAGGAACTGTTGTTCTAATACGGCCATTTTTAAGCTTGTCTTGGAAGGTACCCTTATGTGACTGAGTCATAGGACAGTTTTGAATGCCGATATGAAAGCTTTGCTTTTCATGTCCTCTAGAACTGGAAGGCATCCACCTGTGTTGCTGCTTTGTTTCAGTTCCTCTATAATTTTACAAGAAAAACGTGCTTAGCAGTAAAAATTGTGACAGCCGGACACTAGGAGCCACATGTTTGGGATTAGTTCCTGTTTACGCAAACAAAATGTAATTTGCTTGCATATTTGTAAAACAACCAAGTATGACTATTTTTCTCAGGGAAATTGCCTTCTTGCTGCTAGCTCTGCATTGGCTGAGCTTCCTGACTTCTCAGTAGTTCTTTTGGAATGACTTCACAGCCCTTCTTCAGCTCAGCAAACCCAATCAATAATGTAAAGTTATAGATAAACAAAGTCATTATTTCAAGCAGGGTACTTTGGCGAAATTTCTTTATGTGACACTGCTGCTTTATGGCAGTTGCTATGCCTTTCCATAATATGGACTAGGAATAATTTATTAATCTCAGATCATATGCGCTGGCTGATAATAAATATTGCAGCAATATGTAGATTTCAGTGGGCTTTGCATTGTAAGCAGCATTTCATCCTTTTTGTGGCGTGTTTTACAAACTCACTTTGACATGTAGCTCTCTAACAAAGAGCACATTTGCCTCTACGCGCCTGACACCACTGACGCTTAGTACAGCAAGAATAGCATCACATATTCAGGGTCAAATCTCAGACACGCTCTAGAAATCTTTTTGAAGCCAAGGGAATCAAAGGCATTAGTCAAGCCCTAGAAGACTAGGAAAACTCTTTAAGGGCCTCTCTCGGAGGCAGCGCGCTGTCCTCTATCCTGGCAGACCTTCCATCCCTAGGCAGCCCTGATGCAGCAGGGCTCAGGAGCCATCTCCAAGGTACATTGTAAGGCAAACCCTGAACAGAGCATTCATCTTCTCCTTTCCCTGCACACTTGCACTGTGAAGTACCTGATTTT